GACATCTGTTCAGCTATGTTCATAGCAGCATTGTTTGTAATAGACAGAAACTGGAAGCAAGCTAGATGCCAATAAACTGAGGAAATGATAAAGTAAATATGGTACATTTATACAACTGGAGAAATATACAGCAGAAAAAAATGGAATATTGAAACTGAGTGAGGTAACCCAGTCACAGAAAGACAAACATAGTATGTACTCACTCATATAAATCTATTAGACTTTGAGCAAAGGATTACCAGCCTATAATCCGCACCACCAGAAAAGCTAGGCAACAAGGAGAAATGTGCATGGTCCCTTGGAGAACGGGAAAGGGACAAGATCTCCTGAGCAAATTGGAAGCACGGTGCAAAGGGAGAGGGAGTTAGGAGAAAGAGATGAGGAGAAGAAGAGGGGAGGAGGGGAGGAGGACTTGAGGAAGCAGGAAGATTGAGTCAGGGGAATAATAGAAGAGATCAAGAAAAGAAATACCTTAATAGAGAAAGCCATTATAGGCTTAAAGAGAAATTTGACATTAGCAAATGTCCAGAAATCTACAAGGATGACCACAACTAACAATCTTATCAATAGTAGAGAGGCTACTTTAAATGCCCTTCCACTATAATGATATTGATAACTACCTTAAATGACATCCTAGAGCATTCATCTAGTAGCTAATAGAAGCAGAAGCAGAGACGCACAGCTAGGCACTGAGCCTAACTCCTGGAATCCAATTGTAGAGAGGAAGAATGTTGAGCTACAGGGAGAAGAACATGCTGGGGAAACCCACAGAAACAGCTGACCTGAACAAGGGGGAGCTTATGGACCCAAAACTGACAGCTGGGAAACCAGCATAGAACAAAATCAGGTCCCCTGAACTTAGGTGTAAGTTAGGACACCTGAAACATCTTTGGGGACTCTGGTTGCAGGACAATATTTATCCCTAGTTTATGAATCCACTACCAGGGGCCCCATAGAGTCCCGAAGCATCCTCATTGACATCCACATTCAGGGGTCTGGATCACTCCCATGCTGGCCTCCCAGACATCAGTCTGGAGTCCATGTGTTCCCCCTTGTTCAGGTCAGCTGTTTCTATGAGTTTCACCATTCTGGTCCTGACCCCTTTGTTCTTCATTTCTCCCTCTTTGCAACTGGGTTCCAGAGTTCAGTCCAGTGTATAGCTGTGGGTGTCTGCCTCTGCTTCCCTCAGCCACTGGATGAGGGCTCTAGGATGGCATATAAGGCAGTCATCAGTCTCATTATAGGGGAATGGAATTCAGGGTAGCCTCTTCACCATTGCCTAGACTGTCAGTTGGTGTCATCTTGTAGATCTCTGGAAACCTCCCTAATTCCAGATCTCTCTTCATACCTATAATGGCTCCCTCTGTTATGGTATCTCTCATCCTGCTCTCCTCTATTCTTCCCCCGACTCAAACTTCCTGGTCCTCCATTTCCTCCTCTCCCTGCCTCTTCTCCCCCTCTCATTCTGGAAGCTCCCTCTTCCCTACCCTCAGGCTCCCAATTAGCTCAGGAGATCATGCCCCTTCCCATTCCCTGGGAACCATGCATTTTTCTCTTAGAGTCCTTCTTGTTTCCTAGTTCCTTTGGTGATGAGGATTGTAGGCTGGTACTCCTTTGCTCTATGTCTAAAATTCGTATATGAGTGAGTACATACCATGCTTGTCTTTTTGTGACTAGGTTACCTCACTCAGGATTGTTTCAGTATTTATCCCTGGCATAAGAAGGGACTTTGGGAGCCCATCCTACATGGAGGGATGAGCTCTCAGCCTGGACACATAGGGGAGAGCCTAGGCCCTTCCCAGGATGATATGACCAACTTTGGAGGGCCTTGCCCTCCCTGGGGACCAGAGGGGAGATGAGGTAGAGGGCTGGTGGGGGACTGGAGGGGAGGGAGGGAGGGAGGGAGAGGGTATTACCATGTGAAGCAGCCTTGCTTGTAATTTGAACTAATAAAAAATAATCTCTTGGGGGAAAACAAATTAGAAGGGAGGTAGTCAAACTTCCACTATTTACAGATTATATGGTAGTATACCTAAGTGTTGCAAACTACTGTACCAGGAAACTCCCTAGAGCTGATAAACACCTTCAGTAATGTGGCAGGATACAAGATGAGCTAAAAAAAATCAGTAGCTCTCATATATAGAAATGATAAAAGGGATGAGAAATAAATCAGAGAAACATCACTTTCACAATAGCCACAAATAACATGAAATATCATGGGGTAATGATAACTAAACAAGGGATAAAGCAGTATGACTAGAACTATAAGTCTTGGAAAAAGAAATTGAAGAAGACATCAGAAAATTAAAAGATCTCCCATGCTTTTGGATAGTTAGGATACGCAGAGTAAAAATGGAATCTCACCAAAAACAATCTACACATTCAATGCAAACCCCATTAAAATCCCAAAACAATTCTTGAATGACCTTGAAAGAACAATACTCAACTGCATATAGAAAAATAAAAACTCAGGGTCACCCTCCCTGGCCTCAAGCTCTACTGTAAAGCTTACAGTAATAAAAACAGCTTGGTATTGGCATTAAAACAGACAAGTGGATCAAGGGAATTGAATTAAAGACTCGGACGTTAATCCACACAACTATGAATACCTGATTTTTTTAACAAAGAAACCAAAATTGTACAATGGAAAAAAAAGAAAACAACTTCAACAAATGTTGCTGGGATAACAGGTTGATGACATGTAGAAGAATGAAAATAAAAACAGTCTATTGTCATGCACAAATCTGAACTCAAAAGATCTCAACATGAATCCAGTTACACTGAACCAGACAGAAAAGAAAGTGAGAAGTAGTCTTGAACACATGGGCAAAGGAGACTACTTCCTAAATGTAATAGCAGTAGCACAGACTATGAAAGCAGCAACCAGGAAATGGGACCTCCTGAAACTGAGAAGCTTCTCTAAAGCAAAGGACACAGTCAACAAGACTAAACGCCAGCCTATAGAATTGAAAAAAATATCTTGAACAACCCCACATATGACACAGGACTGACCTCCAAAATCTACAAAAGAACTCAAGAAACTAGACACAAAAACAAAAATGATCAAATTAAAAAATCAAGTACAGATCTAAACAGAGAATTCTCAACATAAAAAAAAATGGAATGGCCAAAAGACATATAAGAAATTGATCAACATCTGCAGCCATCAGGGAAATACAAATAAAAACAACTTTGAGATACCATCTTACAACTGTCAGAATGGCCAAGATCAAAACAATGATGACAGTGGAGTAAGGAGAACACTCCTCCATTGCTGGTGGTAGTGCAAACTTATACAGACACTTTGGAAATCAGTAGGACAGTTTCTCAGAAAATTTGGAATCAATCTACTTCAAGACTCACCAATACCACGCTTGGGTATAAACAAAAAGGAAGCACAATCATACCACAAGGATATTTGTGCAACTTTGTTCATAGCAGCAGCATTATTTGTAACAGTCAGAATCTGGAAATAACCTAGATGCCTTGCAACCTAAGAATGGATAAAGAAAATGTGGAGCACTTACACAATGGAGTATTACTCGGATGTAACAATGACATCTCAAAATCTGCAGGCAAATGGATGGAATTAGAAAAAGATCCTGAGTGAGGTAATACAGAACCAAAAAGACAAATTTGGCATGAACTCACTCATAAATGGTTATTAGATGTAAAGAGAAGGATAACCAGGATACAGTGCATAACTCCAAAGAATCTAGGTGAAAGGGGACCCTAAGATGGATACACATGGAGGGCCTTAGGAAGGGAAAATAGTTAAGATCCCCTGGGTATACAGGGCAGGCTGGTAGAAAGGAAGGGATGTAAAATGGGATCATGAGGGATCAAGAAGACAGAGTTGTGGGAGAGGTGGAGGGTGGGAGCAATAAAAGAGATATCTTGATAGAGGGAGCCATTATGGGGTTAGGGAGAAACCTGATACTAAAGAAATTCTCAGGAATCCACAAGGATGACCCCAGCTAAGACTCCTAACAATAGTGTAGAAGGTGTCTGAATGGCTAGTACCTTTTAATCAGATTAGTGACTACCCTAATTGTCATCATAGAACCTATATCCAATAACTGAGTGAAGCAGATGCAGTGTCCATAGACAAGCACTGGGCTGAGTTCCTGGAGTTCAGCTGAAGAAAGGGAGGAGGGATCATATAAACAAGGGGGTGGTCAAGAGCAAGATGTGGAAAACCACAGACACAGCTGACCTGAACTAGTGGAGCTCGTGCACTTTGGACTGAGAGCTTGGAAACCTGCATGGAACAAAACTAGACTCTCTCAATGTGGATGACAGTTATGTGGCTTGATCTCTTGGCCCGGTTTGGAAGTTATATACATATGTGTCTATGTACATGCATATATACAAAAATACTCAAAGACAAGTGGCTAATGATTGAAGAATGTAAAAAGAATGAAAAGGGGACAAGGGAGGGCATCAGGAAAGGAATAGAATAGTAAAAGGGAGGAATTGCGTAATTCTATTTCAATTAAAACATATTTTTAAACAAGTACAAAATTCTGAAAGCACTAATGAAAATTTTCTTTAAAAATCATATATGTCAAGCACAAATCAGGTTTGGTTGATATTAAATTAAGAAACTACACAAAGTAGGATAGATAGGAAAATGGGGGTATATCTCAGAAAAGTTGATGGGGGATCATGATCAAAACTCATTATGTAACATTCACAATATAGTAAATAATTTTTAAACAAATAACAATAAAATTTGATATGCTGTAGAAGACACAGTTATTGGTGAAAATTTATTACACTCAACTGAGAAAGGAAAACCATGAATAATATTATTGTTATTCAGGACTGAAAACATGGGCCTAAATGAAATCCTGTAAAGTTCAGTTAATTTGCTCAAACCACT